CACACACACACACACACACACACACACACACACACACACACACACACACACACACACACTAAGATGGCGCTTAATCGGTGTCAAGTTCAAGTGACTCCTGATACAAACAGGCAGCTATAACATGCAGCATGCAACAACAACATGGTGACAATAATCAACTGAAAGTCGCTTTTCATGAGGATTTTTTCTTCTTTTTTTAATTTCAATCAAAATTTCCGTTCACATTTCTTCATAAACAGTTGGTCAAACAAACCAACCAACAAACAGTAGCCTAAAAAGTACAAGGAACATCCGACTCCGGTAGCTAAATAGGCTAACGCATAATAATAATAATAATAATGATAATCATAATAATAATAATAATAATAATATATAGGCCTGCTGTTGTAACATGGTTTGCCTCAATGTGGCACAGTGACACAGTTCATCAGTAAAACATTTCTGCTCTTCAGGAATAACTCGGAGTGTGTGGCCCATTTTCTTCTCAGAAAGTGTTACAACATCACATTCTAGCTGTTTATACATCAGAATATTTCCCTCTGACCTCTGGACATGTAAGCGGGGCAGAAAGGAGGCGGGAATAAGAAAATGTACTTCTTTTAAATTAAGGTATAGAAAATAGCATATAAAACATATACTCCTTAAATTATTTAAATAAACTTATTTCATATATCACTGTCAAGAGGTACCATTTTTTTTTACATTTTATTTTTTAAAAGTAGTGCTGGTGGTCTGAAATTGTTCTCATATATGAGCACAATATACTTTGAGTATGCATAATATTTAAAATCTTGAGAATAGGTTACAATGCAATGCTGTAACTCTTTTTTTTTAATTATTTTTTTTGCCACTATTCTCCCTTCAGTCCCACATAGAGCTAGGATTCCCCTTCCGCTAATTTTTTTTTTACTCTTTTCATTTTTTTTAGTTAAACACAACAAAAAGGAGGAAATAAAAAAAAATGTCATCTTGACAAGTTATTCACACAAAACAAGCAAATGTGTAATCAAACTGCTCTATATGCAACACCACAACAAATAACACGCTTAGTTTCACAGAAGAATTACATTTAAAACAATGCAAGCTGACAGACAAGAAAAAAAAACAACCTTTTTATTATTATTATTATTTTTGAAAATATACTGTGTTGTTGACAGTTCCATTGTCGCCGATGCACACACTTAAAACAGAGGCTACTTGCACAAAGACACTGCTGGAACTATAAAAACTGCCATGGAGGCGCATGTTTTGGGTGCTATACCCCCCCCCCCTTAAATTTGTAATACTGAAAATATTTTCACCTCAATTTGGAAATCATAAACTTTGCACACTCTAAAGCTTGTATAAGGGTGCAAAAAGCTGATGGGATTCTTATTATTTTTCCTCCCTCTCTCTCCTGCACTGACTTTATGCTAACAACTGACATCTATTTCTGATCCTATTAAAAAAAAAGTTAAATCCACTAAAGGAAAAAGTTGAACCAAAATAAGAACAGAACCAGCTCAACTGAACTCAGTTCTACACAATCAATGCTTTTTTTTTCTTTACATGTCAATGGTCTCATAAAGAAAAAAATCAAAGTGACTGAAATATCTGCATTATATATAGACAAATCCATAATATTCATATAGATGATTTTCTTTTTTTTTCTGATCCAAATAAGACACATGTAGGCTTATTGGTTTAAAAAAGGAAGAAAAATAAAACAGAAGGATACAATCGTGATGTTGGAGCTTATGAGTTTATCATTTGTTCCACGTTAAGCTGGTTATGACCCAAACTGTACAGATTTGTTAGAAAAGAAAGGAAAAAAAACATTTCCATAAATATCATTTAGGTTTCAGAACTCATACCCATAATTAAATTACAAATCGATAAATATGGCATCATGGATATGTATTTACAAMGGTATTAACAAAAGGCAACGGTATATTCAACGGTAACAATCCTAATAACCACATGTCTCCACCTGAAACAACGGACGCTGACAACAGATTCGACCCCATCAAACAAGGAAATACATTCACGAGTAAAATATTTATTTATGACCTTTTTTTTCTTTTTTTTTTCTTCTCTGCGTTCAAGTTCATGACAAAGACTTTGGCACGTTTCTTTAAGACTGTTTGAAGTTTTCAACAATCAATTCGTAGAGGCGACGGTGTCACCGCCATTATAAAAAAAACAAAACAAAAAAACAACAACAGC